TGTTAAGTTTTAATTTGTGTGTGTTTTTTTTACAGTCGTGTTGAGGTTTATGTCCAGCTTAGGCCTGGTCCACGACTAATATTAGCTAACAATCCTGCTATTTTAAAGTTGAACTACGTATGAAACATAATGATATTATATTATTAATTTAATTAATGACGTTCATACTGATCTAGCTTGTTGCTAGGTACACTAGCTTACCTACATACCATGATGGATTGATGGAAACCACTAAAGTTCACCTCGGTGTACATAATATCCTACACGTTGAGCATATGTACCTTAATTATGCATTGATATCAAATAATCAAATGTACACATACAATAATTAATTTAGTATACCTAAGTGTATATATACTTTAAATTGTACAATACAAAGTCCTTTGTACTTTCTTTATTTTCAAATATTTAACATAAAAATTAGATTATCTAACAAAAAAGTTAAAGTAGAAACAATATTTAAAAACGAAGGCAATATTTAATGCTCCATAAATAATTTAGACTCGTTTACCCAAGTTGGTGAAGTGGCAACCACAATAATGGATCTTCCTTTTGTTGATTGCTCCGCTTACTAATAACAACCTCGAATACTGATTGCCTTTATACATGGGAGAGTACGATCGATCGATCGATCATGACAGATACTAATTGAAACAAGTCACTTTCTTGAACATATAAATTTAATTCATTTAAATGATTTTACTAGTAATAAAAATATGTGCAGTGGACTGCCTAACGACTTCTGGCATATATTCAGTCAAAAGAAATACTCCAAGTAAGTAAAAATAAAAGGGACGTCTGTAAATTCAAAAATTAAAAAAAGAAAAATAAATACAAAAATAATACGAGTAATGAATAGAGTTTTAAAGACGAATGAAAGCAGCATAATAATGAAGGTATGCATTCATGGCTTTGCTTCTTGTAACACTGCATTCATGGCTTTGCTTCTTGTAACACTGACAATAATATTTATGAATACATGAATGAATGAATGCATGAAAAGTAGATTGATGTATTAATATACATGATGTACCCCAATTTATATCTCTAGTTCATTTTATATTATCTCTACTAGGTTAAAATAGTACAATGAAACAATAAATTATTTAGAAATTGTGCTCCATTTTAATTTAAGATAGCAATATTATGATATATTATCTCATAAGCCAAATAATTGGAATTGATAATATTAAATTATGCATAATGATCAATTAAAAAGCTACAGGATGATGGATTGATTATTGATATATATCAGCAATATCCAACACCATAAAAATAACTATATATATTCTCCCGTCAAATGAAAAAATAAAAAATCTTCACCTCTAATAATTTTTTTTATATAAATTATTATTAAATGCTTTACTTAGATTTTTTATTGTTTTATATGTTACTAACTCTAATATGTAGCTAGCCACACCGTGTGACCAAGTATCACGGGAGCTACTTTGTCAGTGTACTAGGTGTTACTCGTTTAGCTAGTGTTATAGGGGTTACTCCGTCAGTGCTATATGAGTTACTTGTTCAATGTTGTAGGGGTTACTCTGTCAGTGACTTAGGCCTAATCTTATTCTTTTCACCTTATAAAGATAATATGCAAATTGCTCTCGCCGTTTTGTATTAATCACAACATTAGGGTGTTCACAAAGTTTAAAAAAATTTATAGGGTAGGGTCCAAAATAGGATTTTTTATAATATAAAGTATTGTTGGTAATAGAGATAAAAAATAAAAAAAAAGTAGTATAAGTGGGGTTGGTAGGAAAGAGAAATAATCAAATATTTGTAAAAGTGAGGTTAGTGGGAGAAAAAAATTATAAAATAATAATGGGTCATTTCCAAATATAGAAGTGTTGCAATTAAGATAAAATGAATATAAAAGAAAAGTGTTACGATTAATACGAAACGGAGGGAGTATACGAATTATAAGTTTAGTTAATAATTCTTATATAAAATTAAGTTTTAATCTATAAAAATCAGTAAATTCAAATAACAAATACAAACAAATTAGTATAAAGAAGTTGAAGTCCGTGAAACTATTTTTAATTTATCAAAATAATTTTCAATAGATATAAGGTAAAGTGAAATAAAATGGCCTAATTAATCAACAAGATCTTGCTGGTGGTGGAGATTAAGCCATTAAGGAAGTGGATTGGACCGCTTGGTTGTATTAGTTAGGCCTTAAGTTCAAATACCCTCTCTTAATGTAAATGTGGTACATGCTAGATTTGGGAGGTCTACTTAAATTTTTAAGTACACACATACTCTCATACATAAAGGGTTATTTGTAAGTTTCTGATTAACTTATTTTATCATTTATGAGTAGTTGCTAAATCTGCCTCAAGCTTGATCTTAATAGCTCAAATAGCTCATAAGTCGATATGACTATTCTTACTTTTTTTTTTGGGATTTTCCACATCATCATAAAAAAAATGAAAAAAACTAGTTGGGCAATTAATTTTCCTCACACTCAAAAAATATTTTCAAAATTAATTTGCATGATTTTTGTAGTCTATGTCTATATGATAACTCATTAACTCATATTTAATTCCTCTGAAAGGGAACAAGAAATAAGGAGTATCATTCAATAGAAATACAAACCAAGTAAAGCTTAGTAGAATTGGTGGGGAGCTCGCCTTGTGACTCGTGACTTTAAGAGTTTAAGGTCACAAGTTCGAGCTCCACCAACTACAATTGCTTGGGGATAGGGGGATTCCCTTACCTCCCCCCCTCTACTCTTAAGCATAAAGCGTTGACTGGTTCAGTAGGATCTTTGATCTTACCTTATAAAAAAAATTCAATAAAAATACGAAGTATTTAATATCGGAATTAAAATTTGTTAGAGACATAAATTGAACTAGTATTTTGTAATAGTAATAATAATAATATCCCTTGTTGATATTTATTTTCGGTTTGGGATTTCTGCAAGAAAGGAGGTTAACGTTGGGTTAACTGAAGGGAACGACGGGGCACTTCGACCAGCAGATGTGTTGCTTATTCCTGGGATAGAGGACTTGATGTATGTGTTGACTTGACAGGGTCTTCTCCTTTGACTCAATCTGGGCTGTCTGACTTCGTTCCTAGTCGTGTTGTGTCTGCTGCGGCTCGGCGGAAGCGGGACAAGTATAGGGCGCGTTGCAGGGCTATTGGCTATGGTTTTCTTCCTTTCTTCTTTTCTTCACTGGGGGAATTAGAGAAGGATGTTGTTGCGTTGCTGAAGCGGGTTCAGGTGTCGCTAGGACTCAGGATATTGGTGGTCGTGCAGCTCCTCACAGTTTCAACATGATCGGGTTCGCTGTAGCTAGAGGGGTTAAGGCCCAAATTGTATCTCGCCTCCCCACTAATTTCTTGTAAATCGATTGAATTTGTAGGTTTTTGTTATTTTTCTATAATAATAATAATAATAATAAATCACCATTTATTCATCTTACATACTATGGAGTACTCCGTACCTAGTATTAACGCCGTTATATATATGCAAAGAATATACTATGTATGTGAAAAGAGACGATTCAATTATATGTTTCATACATTAAAATTATAAATCTATAAAAAAGAAGATCCTAAAACTAAAGATTTAAAATTGCAAAGGTGCTATAATTGTTTGATTGGTTCGTGGCACCGATAACATGATTATTAAGGTTTAATAAGATTTTTTTTTATTTTTAATTTTTGATTAGGGGTGAGTGAGTAGAAATCATAAAAGGAATGTTTTAAGACTGGTCTTGCAATTATCATCTAACCATCGCTTGTGACTTTACCTCAAAAGTGACTTTGTCTTAGCTTTCTATTCCAAGGCTATGTTTAGTTCACTACCATAGGTTTTTAGATCTTATTCCAAGGCCTAAGTTCACAATAGATCATAGTATAGTTGATCATAATATAGTTCATAATGGTGATTTTTAGATTAGATCATAATATAGTTTTGTGATCATAATATAGTTCACCTTTCTAGCTTATCTGATCTCACAATACAGTAGGTTATCTGATCTTATTCCAAGGCCTAAGTTCACAGATCAGATCTTATTCTAAGACCCAAATTCATAGTAGATCATATTAGAAAAAATAAGTTTAAGTGGGACTAGATATGCTAAAAAGGTGAACTATGCATAGCCTAATTTTCTTTAATTTTTTTTTATAAATGATTTCCTTCATCTCAAAGTCAAATGCAACACTGGGGTTATCAAAATTAAATTTTAATCTTGGTTAATATTAGGTTTGAAACTTTGTTAGTTTTATTTGTAAATGATTTTCACCATATTCATGTTTTGTTATTTATTCTGTTTGTTTTTTTTTTTTTTTAATTTGTCCTATTCGAAACTTTTATTTTGATTTGAAAAAAGAGATATTCTAATCTTAATTAAGAGCTTGTTTAGTTCACCTTATTTTTTTTCTTATCTGATCTAATATTATTTGATTGTCTGATTTAACCAAACTTTGACTTAAGTGTACGATAATCTATAATGAAAAAATATATCAAGTGGGGTTTTGTTAGATTCATAATAATGTGTATTTTATTAATATGTAATTTTCATAATTTTTTTCAATACAAAATTAAAGATATTTAGCGATAAAAACTGCACGTAAAACAATGTGAACTTAATCAACTTATTTTTTCTAATCTGATCTGAACTTATTTTTCCGAAATAAGTAAAAATGAGTTGAACTAAACAAGGCTTAAGACATGATTACATGAGATAGATGTGCACCCTCTCCTCAAGACCTATCTAGTTATTTGGTATTCGTCATTAGTATTCATTAGCGTATACATAATAGATATCCATCATTTCGCGTATCCTATATCCTTTTAATGCAACCTAATCTAACGTAATTAATAACCTAGTAAAAGTATCAAGGTTAAGATCATGATTGCAACACAATGAGAGAGAGAGAAATTAATAAAAGAGCAAAAGAAAGAGAAAATGTAACAAGTGGACATAAAACATATAGGCATAGATAGAGAGGGGGGGACATGTGAAAGAGAGGGGCAAGGCAGAAGGAGAGGATAAAATAGACAAAGGCGCCCGGAAATATAGGGGGTTGTGCAAAAAAGCGAATTTTATTCACTTCTACTTTTGTTATTTTTTCCCCCTTTTTTTTCTCCTAATTTTATCCAACAACTCACTCTCCCATTTTTACTCATTACACCACTCACTCTCTATCACGCACTTTCTCTCTCCTCTGCCACACTTCACAGGCTGCTGCCCCCCGTCTTTCTCTCTCCTCAGCAGCGCGCATCAGCAGCAGCAGCGCGCAGCAGTAGCAACAGTCTGTGCACTGCAAACAAAGCAACACTCTTTGGCAGATCAAAACAATATAATGTCCAAAATTACATAAAGATAAAACTTACCCACAAAAAATATCCCAAATAACCCATCAATTTAAATCATACCCATTTCTTAAAATTGAAAATTAATCAACCCCTTTTGATTTGACACCTTAAATCTCAAAAATCAAAACCCCCCCTCTTCAGTTCTGTTCCTAGAGAGAGAAAGTAATAAAAATCAAAACTTTCTAGAGAGAGAAAGTGTGTTCTTCTTTTAGCAATTCTGTGGGTTTTCAGTTAGGTACCTGTCTTACCTAAGTTTAAACCCCTTGTAGCAATTTTCACAATCTCCCATTTTACCCTTGTTTCTCTCTCTAGAATTCTTCACTTTCTCTCTCTAGAATTCTGCCATGATGGGTGTCTTAATCGACTTGAACACTGTTAATGAAGATGAAGAAGATAACAACAACAGCAACAATAGTAGCGGCAACAATTACCAAAATACCCTCCAAAATCTCTGTGCTTCATCTTCATCATCTGTTTGTATGGAGCTATGGCATGCTTGTGCTGGCCCACTCATCTCTTTGCCCAAAAAGGGTAGTTTGGTAGTTTACTTGCCTCAAGGTCACCTTGAAGAACAAAATCAGCAAAATAATTTGCCAGAATTTGATTTTTCAAGTGGGATTATTAATACTAATAATAATATTAGTAGTAATAATATTTATAATCATACTTTTGATTCCCACCAAAACAATATTCCTCCTCACGTGTTCTGTCGTGTTCTTGATGTCAAGCTTCATGTAAGTTCCCCTTTTTCGTTATACACTTTTAAAATTTTTTGTGATGGTCTTTTTTTGGTAATTTTCTGGTAATTTTTATTTGGGGTTTCATGTTTCAATTTTGGGTAACATGGGGTTTAAATGAATTCTTTCTGTGTATATAATAGATAGCCACATAGCATTTGCGCAATGATGTAGACGGGATTCGATACCATCCCGAACTTGGGTACTAATTCTGGGTATATGCTGTTTCTGCTAGTTGTTTGGTTCTAAGTAGTTATGTGATTTTTATTTATTTTTTTGGGTTAGGTTAAGAAATTGATTATGGGTTTGGTTCTTTTTGGCTTTTTAAGAAAGTTTGCTTTTTTTGGGTAAATGTTTTCTTAAATGTGTGTGAATGTTGGTTTGAGTATGTAATGATTTAATTTTTTGGGGATTATTTATTTAATTCTGGGAATTTGGGAATTTTTTTAGTAGTTTGATTAATAATCTTTTGTGTTTGCTCCTTTGAAATTGGGTGGTTCAATTTGTGGGGAATAAAATACGGAGTATAATTAACAATTTTGAAATGTGTGCTCATTTTTGGTAGGCGGAGGTTGCAACAGATGAGGTCTATGCTCAAGTTTCTCTAATCCCAGAGAGCCAGGTAAGAATGTGTAAAATAATCACTCATTATTTTGGTAAAAAATGTACATAAATACTATACTTTAATCTTCATATGAAGTTTAAAATAGGGTAATTAATTCACATTTGAAGTTTCCTAATCAAACTATGTTTGTTTAATTGTTATTGTTCCTAACGTTTTGTGCTTTAATTAAACAATGTTCTGAATTTCTGACAATGTTTTGTGATTGCTTTGCTTTCCTGGTTATAATTGGAGCAGTTTGAGGAGAAATTGAAAGAGAGTGAGACTGATGTGGATGGAGATGAAGAGGATTTTGAGGACATTGTCAAGTCCACAACACCTCATATGTTCTGCAAGACTCTAACTGCTTCGGATACCAGCACTCATGGTGGATTCTCTGTCCCTCGCCGTGCTGCGGAGGATTGCTTTCCTCCCCTGGTAATTTCAGCTCTAATTCCACTGGAATACCGCGTTTTTGCGTGTTTTTTGCTTACCGATTTCGGATAAAATGCCGGTCTTTATAGGTTTTTCTTAATGGGCATTTTTGGTGAAAATGGTGTAGGATTACAAGCAGCAGAGGCCATCTCAGGAGCTGGTTGCAAAGGATTTGCATGGATTAGAGTGGAGGTTTAGGCACATTTACAGAGGTACATTGGAGGTTAGGGGCATTGAGTTCAGTTTTCTAGGTCCTAGGTCCTCATATAATTAAGGCTTTGTCTAGAATTATTATTGTTTAAGGTCAATGTTTGCTAGAAACTTGTGACATTGTTCCCCAATATGCATACTGTTTCCCTGTTTTTGAGAAAAACTCTCTTAGATTAAGTATCCTAAGCTTCTTAACTTTTCTGTGATTTTGTTATTATGATGTGTTCAAAGGCTTAAGTTGGGATTTTTTTCTAGGCTTGTTGCATGTTTATGGGTTTGATTTAGACAGTTGGGTTGTACTAGTTTATAGTCTTGACATTAAATTTTCCAGGGTTTGTTGCTTCTTTCAAGCTATGTTACTTGGGTTTTTCATATTACCTCAACTGCTTGTGACGGGAGTCTTGAAATTCGTAGACAAGTATGCACACTTTCAATGTCATTTTGGTAAAAAAAAAAGGTCATGTTTTGTAATATAGCGAAGTCTAATACTTGTGTGTGTGTGTGAAACATATACCTGAGTAGGGTTTGATTGCTAACAAAGGAAAAGTCCTTTTTTTTTGATAAAATCAATGAATGCTGAATTTTTTTTCTTGCTTATTTACTTAATGTGGTGTTCTTTACGATGCTTGAGTAGGCCAGCCGAGGAGGCATTTGCTCACAACTGGGTGGAGTGCTTTTGTGAATAAGAAGAAGCTAGTCTCTGGAGATGCAGTGCTCTTCCTCAGGTTTTAATAATGTTCTTTCTTCAGGAAGGTTTTATGATCGCTTTAATATTTGTTCTAATCATATTATGTTTTGGAACGATAGAGGCGCCGATGGAGAGCTGAGGTTAGGAATCCGAAGAGCAGTTCAGCTGAAAGGACCAACCTCTTTTTCTGCTCTCCCCACTAGACCAATGAGCAACAACAGTGTGTCGGCTGCATTTGACGCAATATCTTCTGGACGTGTTTTCAATGTCTGCTATAACCCAAGGTATTTGTAGTTGAAATTATGTGAGCTGCTATGTAGTTGATTTCACTCACTTTTCTTCTGTAAGTGAGCTTCAAAATTTACCAAAATTTGTTTGACAATTTATGATTACCTGGATTTTCCTGTATTATTTTACATGCCAAAAGTATTGTACTAGTAAAATTTGCCCTTACTTACAATGTTGTATGTGCATGCGTTCCCTTGGAGTATTTATCCTTGTGCCTTTTCGTTCATGCCATCTTCTCTATGACTTTCAACTTTTATTATAATTCAGGGTATAAATTGATCGATCCAATATTTCTACTTGTGCTGTATGCTGAAAGCTGTGCATTCGTCTTGCTATATACATTATTTGAATTGTTGTGTTTGATTGATCATATATATCATATAATCAAATGATGTTGTAAGCTTTATATTTGTCTTACTATTCATGATGTGCCATAGACATCATAGCTACTTTTTTCTATATCATATTCTTTAATTGGACGTAATATTTTTGGGCAGAAAATGACTAGAAACCTGTGTGAATAGCAGCTCATTAAGCATGCAGGTCTTTCCTTGTGTCAGTTGTGTGTGACTGTATATGCAAATTTTTGGATCTTTCTTTTGGAAATATTAGCAACCTTTCTTTTAATTGGACTATTTGTTATATCAACTAGAAGTCATTCTTGTACTTGTGAGGTGTTTAACTTTATGTGACACTTATTTTTACGATCTGAAGTACCTCCATCCGACCCTTTAAATCATAGCAGACAGTAGAGAAAGTCCATAAAATTATTGTACCTGGTCCTTGTCTTTAAGTGCTAGTTACAGTCCACTAGCACATGAGATCACATGCTCAAATGTTATCCTTTGGTTAATGTGAATTTCGATTATTCTTTCCATCTTGTAGGGCAAGCTCGTCTGAGTTTGTTGTACCACTCCGGAGGTTCTTGAAGAGTTTGGATACTTCTTTCAATGTAGGAATGAGGTTCAAAATGCGCTTTGAGGCAGAAGATGCTGGTGAAAGAAGGTTGGGAAATGCCTCCTTACTCTTAACAGCATTAATGTTCTAGCTTTTATGGTTTCATCTTAGATTTGTGCTCTTGCAATAGGTACACCGGAGTGGTCACTGGAATTGCTGAGTTGGATCCAATGAGATGGTCTGGTTCGAAATGGAGATGCTTAATGGTATGTGTGTATAGGATGCTACGCGGTTCTAATTTTTGATGCACGTCTTATATTAGTGGAAATAGACTTGGAAATTATATTTTGCAATTCATATCTGACAGGGAATATAGAGATTAAACTTATATTAAAAAAAAAAAAAAAAAAAAAAACCCTGCAAAGTTCTTCCTCTCACAAACTGAAAATTTGTGTTCTATGTGATGATTGAACAAGTCTACAAGAGTAAATAACATCCTTTGCTGTTTGTACCATATGACTTGTTTCTTAGAGTATGACGGATTTTAAAGGAATTCATTCTCTTTCTTCACGAAGCAGTAGTCTTTTGGTCTTTTCCTATTTTTTATTTTATTTTATTTATTTATTTATTTTTTTTTCCCCTGATGAGCTGTTAGATCTAAGGTCCTGACTTGGGTAAATCATCGAGTTTGCTAATCATGTTTTCCTTCAATGGTAAAAAGGAATCGATTTTGCTTCTAACCTTCAAAGAGAATGTATATCCTAAATTATAAGTAATAATTAACCCGGATTGGTAAATTTGGACTCTCCATCTTTAGGAAGGCTGCCTGAAGTTCAAGGGAATTAGGCAACGATACAACATCAAGTATATCTAGAACTTGTGTTAGTATTGTATTGCTTGTTTATTGTGTAAAATAACAGAAAATGAAATGGCATGCATCATCAAATTAAGTGTGTTGTCGTTTCGACTCCAGGACTGTTCATTCAGGTTGTAAATCTTTTTTGCTCATAATGTCACAGGTAAGGTGGGATGATGTAGAGGTGAATCGCCATGGCAGAGTTTCTCCTTGGGAGATTGAGCCAACCGGTTCTTTTCCCAGTCCCAGTAGCTTAATGGCATCTGGTCTAAAGAGGAGCAGAATTGGTTTGCCATTAACAAAACCAGAATTTCCAATTCCAAGTAAGGTCTTTTGAGCACAGAAATCAACTTCCAATAATTTCTTGTTCTGATGATTTTGGTGGTTGCAAAACTGATGTACCATTGAATTCTGTGCAGGTGGAGTTGGAATGCCAGACTTCGGAGAATCCATGGGATTCCGGAAGGTCTTGCAAGGTCAAGAAAAATTGGGTTCTCGTTCTGCCTGTGATGGTAATGACAACCCTCATCTTTCCTCATCTGATCCAGGAAGATGCTATCCTAGCTCCATTCCTCCAGGTGATTTTGGCAGAACTGCCAAAGGCATAGGCTTCAGGGAATCATTCCAATTCCAAAAGGTCTTGCAAGGTCAAGAAATACGCCATCTTAGTCCGGCTCAAGTCGATGGTTTTACATCTTCAGCCAACCGGGGGCATGAGGGTGGTGGACCCCTTGAGATTTACGAGGGTGTGCAAGTGCCTAACTGTGGAAATGGATGGCTAAAAGCACAAGTGTCTTCACCATCCTCAGTATTAATGTTCCCACATCCAAGCATTCAACAAGCTAGGAGCTTCAGATCGCCCATATGTCAACCCAGGCTGATGAGTATGGAACATATGAATTATTCTGGTGTTCCTGCATACAATTCTCTCTCGAAAGCAAGTGATGAGTTGGTTCCTGCCGGTAAAGCCAGCTGCAGGTTATTTGGTTTTTCGCTCACTGAGGGCGAACACAGGGTGGTTAAAGAGAGAAACCATAACAGCTCGTTTCCACCTCCTGAGACTTCGTTTTGGCCTCTCGTTGAAGGGCAGCCATGCTACAAGTCTCCATCTGTGACTAAAGTTGGGAGCAATTGTCCCGGAGCAAACGATCTATATGCTGTAAGAGATATGCTTCTTGATATTGCTCTTTAAACAGAAAGAAGCTGGCTTTTACAAGATCCAGTTCACTTTGCGGCTTTGAACCATTAACAATGGTTCGATGGCCTAGTGACAGTTTAGTAGGAAGAACTTCAAAATGCTTTGGCTATAATATTGGTAATTAAGTCACTGATGGAAAAAAAAAAAAAAATCTCAAGATATTTGCTCAAGTTGTTTTGTATTCAAAAGAATGATTTGTAATTGTCTTACTTGCTTTTTAGTTTAGACCAAACCTTATGATGCATGTATGAATTTTTTCCCTTCAAGATTTGATTGTAATTTTAATCACACGATTTCTTCCCGGATAATTATGCTGTGTACAGATTATTGTGCAACAGCATACAGCAGTGTAGCAAATATTAGAAGAGCCTACGATTCGATCTGTATTAAGGACTAAGCAGCCACTGTTCGTTGAATACTATATCAGAGCTGAAAGTAGAAGAAACTAATATGGTTTCCATCTTCCCATTAATAGTACAGATAGTACACCGAACAATCCTAATAATGTCCTCGACTTTCTGCGCTTCTCTTAGCTCGAAGACATTAAGATACAGGTACAAAAAAGATAATCGCGTGGTGGTGGGAAATGAATAAGTATCGATGATAGGCATGTGTGCCTTGAAGTGTTTGCCGTACTTGGAATCTGTTAAACAACAAACGCATGATGGCTTGGGTGAACTGCAGATAGTAAGAGCCTAAGAGGAAGAGCTTGCTCACTTCGGTTTACAGCGCTGCCAGCAACATGGGTTGGGAGGAAGAGGATTGAGCGAACCGAGAGCAAGAGAGCCGTGGTGGTTCAGTTTTAGGTTTATCTGATGCTTCCTGTGTAATCTGTCATACATACTGCAGCAAGAAATATCTGTAGCATGGATGATGCATCAAATTCTTGGCCTTTCTGATATTAGCAGATTTCTTTTCCACTAACCATTGCTTGTGGCATTCAATCATGACACTCTGTCAGGAAAATCAATCATATGCTCCACAGCCCTTTGGCTTTTGTGAGCCCTATGTTGGAATAGTTGGATATTGCTGCTCAAGCAATGCATTTAAGTAAGTTTTTACAGAGAAATTGAAGAGGGATGAAACATGAAGCACATGCAGTTGGATTTAAGTTCACTCTCACAAGCATTTATAAATTATAAGCTATGTTGCTCGGACTTAGGTACTTGTGTTTGACACGGCTTCATGTCCAAGAGTGAAGCTCGATTATTTTGCAAATTTTTTTCCTGATTTAGACCCCTAGTGAAGGGTTCAAATGTCCTACCCAAGTCGAGGATCCAGCACAAATACTTGAGGTAAAACAAAAAGTTTGAGTAACATAGTTTATAAGTAAGGTAGTTTTTTTCCTTAAAAAAAAAAGTAAGGAGTAGTTTTTGGCATGTATAAGAATATCAGGGAATTTTGTAGACTAAATAATGGATACTTGAAATTGAAAACCCTAGAGATTCGGTTAAAAATCTACCTTCAAATGTGCATTTAATTAATCCTTCTCATAATAAAGTGACTTTAATATGTTAGAACTTGAATTGTCCCTAAAATTTAAATGTTTTTTCATGAGTAATAAACCCAATATAGTGGTTGGATCTCAAATGATTCCAAGGAAAAGAGAGAAAAATAAAATAAAATAAAAATAAGTAAAAAAATAAAAACAACTAGGGGTGCTAATTGAGTTGAGCAGCTCGCGAGCAATTCGAACTCGACTCGGTCAACGCTCGGTCAAAACTCAGCTCGAATTCGACTCGACTCGAGATGTCAATGAGCACGAGTTGAGCAAGCTCTAACTCGACTCGATAAGCTCGTGGGCAACTCAATAATATATTTTATTAATAAAGAATTTACAAACAAAGTTATCATGTTTAAACAAATTAGACACTTAATAAGTGTTAATTTATATTATCAAAAAAGAAAGAGTAAATCTTTAATAATAAATATATAAAAAAAGAAAATATAAAGTGAACAAAAAAAAAAATGCATACAATTATAGAAGGGCCAAAACTTTAACGAGCAGATCGTGAGCTACTCGACTCGACTCGAAACTTTAACAAGCACGAGTTGAGTAGGTTTTATTAGGTCGAAACTTTAGCGAGCACGATTTGAGTACGTGTAAAAAGTTTTCGAGTCGAGTTGAGCACCCCTCAGCTCGTGACCGACTTGCTCGATAAGCACCCCTAACAACAACATTCTGTTGGGATTTAAGTGTATATTCTCCAATCTCCATAATATGTTTCCATGACACCGTTGAATAATTTAGAGAATGTTAGACGAATTTCATGTGCTTAGCTTAATTAGCATAGGTGAAGGTGTGGTTGAATAAGAAAAGCAAAGAACAAAGCAATTAAAATAGCATAGTTGTGTCGGTTTGTAGGAAATTAACGCCGCCCGATCAGGGTAGTGCTTGCCTGACCGGGCGCACGTGTGGGTGTACTGACGCAAGTCTACCTCATGGTCAGGGTCACCATCGCCCTACCGGGCGCGAGAAGGAAGAGCAAGAGCTGCTGGGTTTTCGCTCGGCAGGATATTCACCATTTCACAGCCCTACAGGGCGTGAGAAGGCAATTTACAATTCTTGGGTTCACCACCCGGCCAGGCGCGAGGCCGTTCAGATTCTGAGACCCAGATCCGCCCGATAGGGAGACCATGGCCTGGCAGGGCGGGGGCTTTTTCTGGATTGAGATTTGACGGTTACGCTTCCTTTAATGCTTGAATTTTTGCTTTGTATATGTGTTCATTTAACATATGATGAAAAGAACTTCAAGAAAAATAGCACTCTAATTATTTCTTCTTGAAAACCAACTGCAAACCCCAAGTTATCATCATCATAATTATCAAAGTCACAAATATACTACACACTATTGTTGTTATCTTCGTTATATCTCCTAGTAATTTCGTGATACCCGGTGTGTTTAATAAGGGTCAAAATATTACTTTGGGAAAGTGATTTTGTTCACGCCTCGAAGTGTAAAATTGTTCAAGTTCATTTGTTGTGATTTTTGTGACCCAGTACTCAATATCCCCAACAATCTAAAGTAATAATCCTACAAAGATGGCAACAGTGAAAGAATTGACATCGAACTTTCAAAAGTTGGACAAGTTTGAAGGAGTTGATTTTCAAAGATGGCAGAAAAAGATGCATTTTCTATTGACCTCAGTTGGAGTGGCGTATGTTCTCACTTCCTCGAAACCAACGGAGGAGGAAAACGAGGCATTGGAGGTCACTAGGAAACGCAACAAATGGGAGAATGACGATTACATTTGTCATGGGCACATGTTGAACGGTATGTCAAATGAGTTGTTTGATATTTATTTGTTTCATGATTTTGCTAAAATGCTTTGGGAAGACTTATAGTCAAAGTATATGGCCGAAGATGCTTCTAGCAAGAAATTCCTTATTAATAAATTTAACAATTATAAGTTTGTTGATAGTAGGCCGGTCATGGAACAATATCATGAGGTTCAAAGGATTTTAGGGAGTCTTAGGCAACATGAAATTAATCTTGATGAGACCTTTATAGTGTTATCTATAATAGATAAATTGCCTTCCTCTTGGAAAGACTTTAAGAATGGTTTAAAGCATAGACATGAAGATATTAATCCCGAGGGATTAAGTTCACATACTCGGATTGAGGAAGAAATTCGTGTGCAAGAAGGACAAAAGGAGGTAATTCCTAGTTCTACCACCGTTAACATGGTGGAGGATGGAAAGTCTAATGACAGGAAAAGGGGATATGACTCAAACAAAAATAAGGGCAAGAAGCCTAAAGTAAGTGGTGATGGTACAAAATCACGTGCTTGTTGGGTTTGTGGAAAACCTGATCATTTTAAGAAGGATTGTACAATTTGGAAGAAGAAATTGAGCAAAAAAAAGTCTTAAGGTGGGAAAGGCGATGCTAGCCAATCCCAAGACATACAAGGTAACTCTTGTGCACAAATTTCATTTAATTCATTGATGGATTATGTGCGTATGATTTCTGAAATCATACGTGTACAAGCTGATTGTTCGTGGTATATCGATTCGGGCGCATCGAGGCATGTGTGCAAAGATAGGACATTGTTCAAGACCTTCATGGAGGTTTATGATGGAGAAATTCTTTATATGGGCAATGACTCTACCGCTAAGGTGCTTGGCAAGGGACAAGTAGAGCTAGTCTTTAGTTCGGGCAAATCTCTTATTTTAAAAGATGGGTTTTTTTGCTCCCGAACTTAGGAGAAATCTTGTATCCGGTGCGATCTTGAATCGATTAGGTTTTAAAATGGTGTTTGAGTCGGATAAGTTTATTTTATCTAAATGTGGTCAATTTGTAGGACTTGGATATTTGTGTAATGGTATGTTTAAGTTAAGTATTTGTAATACTTTGAATGATGTTGTGTATGTTGTTAATGACAATTCTTCTCTATGAAATTTGCGAATTGGTCATGTAAATTATAAAAAATTATATTTTATGTCTAAGCATGATTTGATACCCATGTTTGATCTAAGAATAGAGAAGTGCAAGACATGCATGTTAACCAAAATCACAAGGAAACCATCTCCTAATGTTGTTGAGAAAAATACTACATTGCTTGATTTAGTGCATAGGGACTTGTCTGATTTTCACAACACACCTTCTTTAGGGAATAAGAAATATCTTGTAACATTTATTAATGATTTTTCAAGGTTTTGTTATGTTTATTTGTTATTCTCTAAAGATCAAGCCCTTGACAAATTTAAAATCTACAAAAGTGAAGTAGAATTGCAAACTAATGGAAAAATAAAAAGATTAAGAATCGATAAAGGAGGTGAATATTTTTGAATATATAGAGTGTATGTGGAGAGCCGGGAAAACTGCGCCCGCGGTACAGGGTGCCGCGCCCGCGGCATGGGCGCGGCCCGGCATCTCCAGAAAGTTGGGTGAAATCCATCTTCACCCTGTCCACGCCCGCGGGTAGAGATGCCGCACCCGCGGCCTAGGCACCCACGTCCGCGGCCCTGGATGCCGCGCCTACGGCCCTCTGGCGGTTGCGATTTTCGTTCTTTTATTTAAAAAGAAACGAAGGAAAGAAGAGGATATAGAATTAGTTTTTCTTCTTGCTCTTCCTCTCCAAGTTTATTCTCCACACTTTTCATAGAGAAAACTTGCAATCTTCTCTTTGAAAACACTTGAAATTTAATCAATCTTTGTGAATTATTCATTGCATTTCGATTCTAGTGCTAAGAACGAAATTTTCTGTCAATTGTATCTCAAAGAAGATTTCCGTTTTAACCCAAGCACCGTGTGGGGGAAATAAACCTTTTAGGAAAGTGTTTACACGCCTTTGACGGTGTATCAAGGTACTAGTCTTATGGGACACCGATTTTCTCATGTTCATGCTTGGAATTA